TGCGTGGTGGGACGGAAATCTAGTCGATATTCGAGGGCGCGAGCGAGACCCTCATGTGCCCATTTTCGGTGTGCAATAAACGTCTACCCCCCTGTCTTGTCGTTCTCGCTACAGTAAGGTGTCGGGGAGGGAGGAGATGCGGGCTCCGGATGAGTGATGCTTTCCGTTCTGGATAGCTCTACCCCCGTTCCAACCACGATGCAGATACAGGACTTACACCAGTACACCTGCATCTCGCGCTTCGGGCTGTTGGGTTCGCAGTAGTCCTCACTGGAGCACGAGGCCCGCCTCCCACTTGCGGAGGAGTAACAGCCGGGACTACTCTTCTGGGCACGAACCTTCTACAAACAGATTTTCCGCACATCCCTACTAAGAAATCCATCTGACATCCATTCTGACATTCACTATCCTTATAAAGCCACCTTCCGACGCAACACAGCTTTGGATTATTCCCAAAGGTCACATACTGCGCGAGATAGCTTCAGAGGCGACTGTAATCATGTATCCAGGTTCGAGATTCCGGTATGGATGTAGCCACTTCTCCCTCGATTGTAACAGGGGTAGATATTCTCTAACCCATCTTTTTGAGAAAAAAGCAAGTAAGTAAGTTACTTATCGCCAATAGCAATTGTATCCATCGGATAAAGGCTCAGTTAACAAGCCCGACGTGTTGGGTGGCATGATCAACAAATCATTTGAAGTTAGGGCTGGTCGAGGGTTAGAATCTGAAGTAAGAGGAACCAACGGTCTAATATTAGTAATACGCTCGGATTCAACTAACAGAGTAACCAACCCTTCCTCACTCAACATTTGTTGTGTGGCGACTAATAGTAGCACTCTTCTAACCAACCGCAATATGTGTCCCCACCCTCCACCTCTTAGACTATATGCTGATGGATTAAAATGCCACTGTAAACCGAGGGACAGCAGTCTATCATTGATACTCCTTTGAAAACGCTTTCAAAGCGACACGCAGTTCCGCAATTACTTCCACAAAATTATCCTCGTAGTCACTAGAAGTCTCCGCCGGAGCTCCTCTGTAGGCAACTAATCGCATCAATACGATGATAGAGGAGTCGGTGTTCAATGTATAAGATTGTTAAAGTTGAACAGCTCGAGTTTGTAGGCACATGAATAGATGTCCATACCGTTTATCTTGTTTCATCCCGTGCTCGACAATAAACCGCCCAACGTAATCGAAGCCAACAAATTTAAAAGGATATCATTCTTTCTCTACTCTAAAGATGTGCGAGATACTCTACTCCATGCCAATGAATTCATAACCCGTATAGTAAATGTTGTGTGCAAGCCAGGCTAGTGGCGGTCAATGTGATAGCGAAGAGGTGAATGAATAAACCTCCAGCACCGATATCTCCCTTATGATTATAGCACGAAAGACCTATGAATTGCTCAATAGGTGGTAATAGCAGTCAATAGCGGTCAATGTGACAGCGAAGAGGTGAATGAATAAGCCTCCAGCACCGATATCTCCCTTATGATTATAGCACGAAAAACCTATGGATTGCTCAATAGGTGATAATAGCAGCAAAACTGATCACTGAGAGTAACTGAAGCCTTCCAACACATGATTCCCGGTATCTGGTGACTAACTGATTGAGTCGCATTATATTGAAATATACGTCACTAGTTACAAGGCGCTGGTCATACTTCAAAATGCCATAGTAACAATAGCTATGACAGGTTGGTGTTCACAAGAGAGCGAGGTAAATGCGGTACATTTGCAACTTAGTGTAAGAGAGATTCTTAACTTGTATGTCTAAGATCGAGATACTGAATAGAATAAACAATGTGGCAAAATTCACCGGCAATTACAAGCGGAGTGGCCTAAATGATTGTAGTTCCTCACTGAAGACGTATGAAGCGGTAGAGACCCAATCGATCAATGCGGTGGGAACACGATTCATGAGAGTGAGTCAGATTTTTGCGGGAGGAGGAAGCTGAAGTGAATCGCCGCGATACAGATGCACAGACAAATGAGATGAAAACCACAAGAGTGATAAAAAGTAAGAAAACATCGTGGATACTGTTGCGGAAACGGGGACAGTAAAGTGCGATGAGTCCGTTGGTTACGAGACGCGTCGAAGTTTACATACGAAGGTTGGGCCATAGTTGGCCGAGATTCGTGGAACAACGAGTAATCCGATGGGCGCAGAGGTCAACGAATTGACATGAATTGGCAGCACTGAGAGACCCAGTGCTGGTTGCGCCATGGTGAACATGTGAATCAGAGGAGTCAAGTCGACAGGCGAAAATGTAGCCTGTGAGTTTGATTTGGTCAAACAGGTTTCGATGATAGCCTGATTTTGAGCGGGTGAGAGGGTGCAGGTGGAGTAGACGACAGAGCCACCCGGGCGACACAACTGCATGGCACGGCTGAAACAGACGAGCACAGAAAAGTATGAGTTGAACAAAAGTAGAGAGTGATATGGGCCGTGTGTATGGGTTGGGAACAGAAAAATGACAGGTATAAGGCAAAAAGAGTGCTCAACAGAGGTCACACGGTGGGAGTGGATGAGTGTGAAAGATAAACCCTGTCCAGCAAACATCTGTGTTTTGTATGCAGTAAGGATAATAAAGAGACGAACTAAAGGAGGATTCAAAAAGAACCAAAGAAACACGGTATCTCACCGAAGCAGTGCTAGCTGTTGGTCAGGCAAAGAGCCACGAGTTTTGGATTTTCCTTTTGAGAACATGCTCCCTTCTGACGAATGTAGAGCGTGACGATCAGCGGAACACGGAACATCAACGAGCACTTTGGTAAATAAACGGTCCTTCACGGCCAGTTCGGATCGGAGGAATTCGGGAAAGTGGCTCTCATGAACGATATGCACCTTTGGGTTTTCTTCGCTAGTCAGATGACCGTGCGTGGCCAGAACTTGTCTCAGACGGAGCAGACGCGAAGAAGAATTGTCCACGCACACCAGACGCTCTACAAATGCGATCAAAAGCAACAGATGGCAAGCAGTGGAATAATAAAGTATGTCGCGCACGTAGAATGAATGAAACGTCACAGAAACAAAGAAAGGTTTATTTTCCTGTGAGAAACAGGTGACGAAACAACTAGTACTCGTATCGGTTTACGTACAGAGCACGCGAATAAGCTTTAAGAAACCCGCAGGGAAGAGAAGATAATAGCAATTTGCATAGGGACAACAGGTAGGGAGTAATGAATTAGTACCCATCTCAAAGCATAACATCACCTAGCAATGCTGTCATTACTTAAAAATAGACATTTTTCAAACCATACTGGACGACTTTCAAACCCTCTAGATGGTTTTCAGACAAGACTGTACGATCTTCAAATCATTTTGAGTGCAGACGAGTGCAAACCGAACTGCGCAAGCCTTTCCTACCACAGCCGTGACCTGAATTGGCCGCATGGGTAGTTCACTCGATCAATGGCGGTGACCAAACTGTCTCCGACATCCCACTGGCCATCATATATATATATATATATATATATATATATATATAAGCATCGCAATGAAGCTGGACCTTAAAGTGGTGCGATGGTTTGCGTGCCTCAAAGATACATTGAGTTATGCTAGGTGATGCTTTTTTTACCTTCAGAGCCACTCATACTAGATTGGCCAATGGTTAGAGGCCAGACAAACTCAGCCTCCTGGTCCTCCAAATTGGGGGTTGGAATGAGGGTGACTCCTCATTTCATAAAGTATGTATGTATGTATGTGTCAGCTTATACGCCGTAACGGCGCTTCGCTGCCGCGCGTGATAAGGTTTTTGAACCAAAGGCTTTGGTTGAGAACCCTAATCGTTCTTCTGTCTAGGCCTGGGCAACCTGACAGTATTCTGCCCACGCAATACAATGAACCTTTTCTACAACAATTTCTTGATGCTCTGGCCGTCGCAGAGGATAATAAACGGCGCCCTATCTGCTGCATCGAGCAGGCTGGGTGGGTATTTGGATGCTACTGCTCAGGCCTTCCCGTCTTCTCATCCCCCATCTTGCGTTTTTTCATCCTTATCGTCCAGCTCCAACTTTACTTTTATCCCCCCATTTTCAATCCCCAATATTTAGCCCTCCCCCAGCTTACTTGCATAGTCGCTTGTCTTCTAGTTTCAAATCACACACAGTCGCAGGGCCTCGCTCCAATCCAGTCGACAAGTCCATGTTCAACCAAGCGGACAACGTCAGTTCATCCCTTTCCCCTTGGAATCCTCGTGTCTCGCTAAGACTGGCATGCCTCAACGTGCGCACTTTGCTACAGATTGGCCAACAGGCAGCACTCGAAAGAACACTAGAGACCCTATCAATCGATATTTGCTGTTCATCAGAAAACCACTTGCAAGATTCGAGCTCCGTGCTTACCCTGCGATCCCCCACATGCGACACTGGAGGCACATTCTCATTCCGCCTGTCTGGCGATGATGCAGCTTCAAACGCCAGTCAAGCTGGCGTCAGCATTGTTTTGAGTCCCCGGGCTGTAGCTGCCCTGATCGATTGGATCTCAGTAAACAGTAGGAGGTGCGCCGTTAGATTAGCTGGTTCGTTCCGTGCTATGAAGTCGCGAGGGGACAAACGGTGCCTGTTTGTCATTGCGGCCTACGCCCCTACAAACTGTAGCACTGATTCGGTAAAAGATGATTTCTATCCGCAACTTCACGTGCTCCTTCGTTACAGAAGAAGCACGGATACTGTGGTATTGGCTGGCGATCTAAATGCCCAAGTAGGGAAATTGTCCTCTGATGAGCTTCATCTGGGCGGCCAACATGGTGTAGGCTCCCGTAATGATAAAGGTGAGCGATTACTGCAGCTGTGTGAAGACGCCCGCCTGTTTTTCGCGAGCACTAACTTTCGACACAGCAACCGCAGAAGTGTGACTTGGCGGCCACCAGCCTCGGGCCAGCCAGGGACGCAAATCGATCATACCGCGATCAGTTACCGCTGGAGAGGCTGTGTCCAAAATTGTCGCTCGATTTGGAGCACGAGCGTGGATTCTGACCATGCACTTGTTTGTGCCGACCTCCGGGTACGTTTCAGTGGACGTCCGCAACGTTGATGTGAACAGATTGACACCAGCCAGCTGGCGAAGCCAGGTGTTCTGAATGTGCATCGAAGTGCGCTGACATCGGGGCTGAGTAATCGCCCACTGAACACCGTCGAAGATCACTGGTCGCATATTCGTCAAACGTTACTGTTAGCAGGCATGTCTTCATGTGGCAAAGCAAATTGCCAAACCGGACATTGAGTCTCCTCACAGTCTCTGGAATTTATGAATGCACGCCGACGTATTCCGACTGGAAGCGAATCCAATGAGACTCACAAAAATCTCAGAGCAAAACTACGTGTTAGCCTGAAGAAGGACCGCGAAACCTGGTGGTCTCACCGTGCCTCTGAGATGGAAACAGCCGATACCGTTGGCAATCATCGTAATTTATTCCGTCTGATACGGGAAACAGGCAGCAGGAGACTTGGTGGTAGCGAGACCATACGCGATGACAGTGGGCAGCCGATTCACAGCCTGTCAAAACGCTTGGAGCGTTGAGCTGAACACTTTGTAAGGCAATTTAAAAAAACATGTCATCAGTTTCTTTTTCAGGCACTGAGCACCCTTCTCCCTGGATCCGCCCTCACGCGCAGAAGCCGAACGTGAGATCAGGCTGTTGAAATTGAATAAGGTCGCAGGGGCAGATAGAATTCCCCCAGCCCTCTTCAAATTCGGGGGACCCGCTCTAATAGATGATTTACACGAGTTGCTAGTGAAACTTTGGGAGCAGGAGACAGTCCCGACAGACTGGAACCGCTCCGTCATTGTCCCAATTTTCAAGGGAAACTCGCGTTTGGAATGTGACAATCATAGAGGGAGCAGTCTGATTTCGATTGCCTCTAAATTGCTTGCCTCTGTCATTCTCCACAGACTGAATGGCACTCGTGAAAGCCAGATTCGTCAAGCGCAAGCCGGATTTCGTCGAGGTCAGGACTGCATCGACCACATCTTCACATTGAGTCAAGTGTTGGAGCACCGCCATGTTTATTGGCGACCCACCGTTGTCGTGTTTCTTGACATAAAAGGTGTCTTCTACTCAGTCGATCGATGTGCCCTTTGGGACTGTCTGCTGAGGAAAGATATGCCTGATATATGTGTAAACATTATCAAAGCGCTGTACGCGCATAGTTCGGACAAAGTGAGGGTTTATGACAAACTGACGCCACTCTTCAGTATCACCAGCGGTGTGAGACAAGGTCGCCCGCTGTCACCTTTCCTCTTCAACTTCGCTATTGATGAAGTCATGGAAACAGCGTTCGCTGGACACGACCTAGAAGGTGTAGAGCTACTTCCTGACGATACTGCCCTAATCTGTGACAGCACCCAAACATACCAAATAGCACTGGCTGTCAATCATGTTGGGCTATGCTTTGCTCCATCGAAATGCAAAGTACTTCTCCAAGATTGGCAGGAACCCAACCCTACGCTAACGCTTGGTGGTGATCTGCTAGAAGTCGTTCAGGAATTCAAGTACCTGGGCAGCTATATTAGCACCCGTGGGATTGAAGATGAGGTTACGAACCGTATAGCAAAAGCTCGAGATGCTTTTGCCAATCTCCGCCACCTGTGACGGAGACGCGACATTACTCTCGCCCTGAAGGGCAGAGTTTACAATGCAGCCGTCCGTTCAACTCTCCTATATGGTTGTGAAACCTGGCCTATCGGGTCGACAGACATAAAGAGGCTCGTCATATTCGATCATCGCTGCCTTCGCAGCTTAGCTCATGTCTTGGTGGGAGCACCGCGTGAGCAATGAGCGTGTTCGACGTCGCGTATTTGGTGAAGGAAGAGCGAGTGTACCGCTCAGCACCATTATATCACGCACCAGGCTCCGATGGCTGGGCCACGTGTTGCGCATGCCAGCACAATGACTCCCGCGACGTGCATTGTTTGCGCGTTGTGAGTGCGCTTGGAAGAGGATGAGGGGAGACCAAGCGATGACTTGGTCGAGAGAGATGAAAATCCTCACTTCGAAGTTGGCGCCGGTTGGTGCATCTCGACTGCCTGGCTGGGGTCCTAAGGACGGTGAACAAGTTTGGTTGGACACAGTTGATGTTATGGCTTGGAGCCGGCCAGAATGGCGTTTGTGTTGTGAGTTCCTTTATCCATCCCCCTCCTGCTTAGCATCCCCGTCCAATCACGATCTCACTCGTTAGGTACAATATGACTCTCTTTTTACGGCACGATAGCCAGCTGTTAGCTCTTCGGAACGCTGTACATCCGTTACTGGGGACTCAGAAGGCGTGCCACTGTTTGTTTTCCTTTTGTTGTCTTTTGTATTGCGGTACAATAGCTGAGGTGTTTTCCACCTGCAGCTAACATGTATAATGACATTATATATACATATATATATATATATATATATATATATATATATTATATTTGGCGGAATCCGGTTTCGGATTTGCCTGTCACTGTGGCCAGCCACAGGACGCCTGCGCCTACAGAGGGACCATGGGTCATTTGCACTGCACCACCCACAGCACCAACCACATACCCCATATCCAGTATAAACCCGAAGGAATAAGACCGGGAGGCATGTGGATGGGAGCCAGGTTTCATCAACGGTGCCGGCCCACACTCCTTCACAGGCAAACAAAAACACGTTCTATTTGGGAATCAAGCGCACACACAAGGTGGTGGCTGGACCGTAGTCCGCTCCACACCGAGTGCATGGAACCACTCTACGAGCCTAGCACGACCGCAAAGACCGTGCCTCCCGTCCCCTCCAGCGACGACCAACTGTCTCCTGGAGCCAGTATGGACGAGGTAGTGGGTAATAGACAGGTAGGCACCTTGTCAACATGCATG